CGCGGAGTTCTGCCGATCGCGAATGACATTGTCATTTTTCAGCGTCGAAGCCGGCACCGAGTGACGATCCATCAGTTTACACGTATCGTTACTCAAACGTTTATCGGGGGACCGCCATCAAATGGATTTATTAACGTGTCTGTAACCTGTGAGGCATCGCTTTTAAATTTCGTATACATACGATACTACTGACGTCGTACCACATAGCCCGTGCTATGAGGTCGGGAACGATATGCATAGGGAAATTCAGGAACATCGACGTGTTATTCGTAACACGTGCAGGTCTGATCTGCATTCAGAAACGTAGCCCGGTACAGCAGGGGAAACTAAAGGTACCAAACCCTTCGACCCTTGGAAATTGCCGAGTTTTCCCGGGAGGTTTAAAAATTCTCTTGTATAATCAATGATTGCTGTAAAAATGTATCTTTACAATTTGATAAATATACGAACAGTACTTGTGCACGCTTTCAGATTAATCTCCAACTTTTACTGTGTCTATAGTGTGGTAAGTTTTTGGTGTTTCCGAGGATAAAAGCAGAATACGTTCCCGAAAGGCCAGAACGGCAGTAAAATAAAATTAAAAAGTAAAAGCCTGTGCTTTCGTGATGACTTTAAGGGGAAGAAAAGAAAAAAACCGAAAAATACAAGAGGCACGGCATAAAGCACGAGGACGAAGTTCGAGGACCTTGCGACATACGACAGGGCAGTAAGTCTAGTGGGAAGGAGACGGAAAACGGGGAAAAGGGTAGTGAGACAAGGTTGGTTGGACAAGCAGAGATTAAGGCGGTGTTCTTAAGCTTAGTGCCGAAATCCTAGTAGGGCTTGCAAGCTGAAAAGGGACGACCACTGCTACGACATGCCCCTTCTAGCCCAGTCTGGCGTACATTACCCCACAGCAGCCTTCCTTACTGGTTATGTGCTCCTTTCAAGTACGTCACCCCTGGACCCTAGGCCGAGCCTACCTTTTTCGTCCACAAGATCTCCCTTTCACCCTGAGTAACCTTCTTTCGACTATACACAGGGGTCGGTAACGTACTCTCCAGAATTCAGCAAGACAGAACACTATTAGCCCCTCATAGCTGGAGTTTCGGCCCCTCGTACAATTTCTTCACTTAATCGTTCCTCTAGCCGAATCGTGTCACTGATGAGGCCGCGTATCTAGGGGACGATCCTCCCTTATACCTGGTCAAGGACTCGTAAGAGAAAAGGGGCTCGTGCCCGCGGATGTGAAGAAATACGAAGACGATGAAAGGCAAATAAAGGGTATATCCTCTTGAGACTGCGTTGGATGATCGTTGTATAGAAATGTCTGAGGGAGGAACTGGCGAAGCATTGCTGGTTTATTATACAGGTACGATTATCGATACGGTTCGGTACCTACGTTTGACAGATATTCGCATTCGATTGGTCTTGCACGTTGAGACACAGAGATGCGTCGCCTTCCGTTATCTCTGCTCGCTCAGGCGCCTTTAATTGGGAGAGCTCAGACTGGGTTTCGTGGGAATAAAGAAGTTCAGATCGTCGCTCAGGTAGACTGCAGACCGCGGGTGACAGGGGGATGCAAATTAAATTTCTCCGAGAAGTGGATGTTATCCGCGAGCAAATGAAGTATATGTAAATAATGAGGGTGGAGATGAATAGGGTTAGGGTAGGGGAGCACGACTAATGGCGAGTGCAATGCCCGACGAAGGAGCAGCCGAAAATTTTTTCTTTGCCCGACGACAGGGTTCCTCAATTATTATAAAACACCTATTTGTATTTTTTTTTTTTTTTTTACGGAGAAAAATGAAAGAAAGCTCCTACGACGGGAGGTGAGAGTTTTCGAGTAACGAGTGAAGGAAGGTGTTTGGAGCAGTCTGATGTTTTGCAACAACTCCAGGGTGGGATCGATCCTTGCTTTCAATGTTTTTTTTTTTTATTCAGTTTTGTTCCTTTTCTCAAATCCCGGTAATGAGGTACCTTTTGGAAGAGACTTTTTGTATATGACATTTACACGCAACGGACTCGGGCGCTTATTAAAATGACGAGGTTAACGATGAAACAGAAATCTAGAAGATATATTTCGCGGAGAAGGTTACGACCGGGAAGATCGAAGGTCGCAAGGTGAATCGAAGTTAATTAAGGCTAAACTCCTCGAAGGGGTGCGTCTTGACTTTTCAATTTCCCTCTTTCTCCTTTTATTCTCCCTCTTTAAAACGATTCCCAGAAAGTCAATAAGGGTGCTGCGCGCTTCCCCGGAGTGAAATTATCTGCGATAAGCTTCATATGTATATCAGATTGTATCAGGTATCTGTATATACGGTTTTACTTTCATAACCGTGTCTATCACCCAATCCTTAATCCACTATGTATATCCGGTATATCCGTATCTATGTATATCTATATTATACAGGATCATTCGAACCAAACGCACCAATGAAGTTGAGCCTGTCAATTTTGATTCTACGACAGAATCGAATTTGATCGATGCGTTTGTCAGAATAACCCTGTAAGAACTTACACCAACAGCCTGGTTCAATGGACACGTGAAACAACTGAATGAACCCCACCTTGAACCCCCACTATCTACAACCCTCATTTTTATACTTTGAGTGAGATCTGGTCTGTTAACCGGTTAAGTTTCCGACGGGAATAAATTCAAAAAATTCCTATCCAAGTCCCAGTAACCTCCTGTATTCGACTGAGGCTAGAAGAAATGCTTCCTGGGCGCTGCAATCTCACTGGTTCTCTGGTGCAAGCTGGTTGGCTGATTCTAACCAGTTGGCTGGTTGACTCCGAGCTTCCGCGGCAGAAGCGTTATGGAAGTATTCGACAAAGTTACTAAAGCAAGTACCAACCGGAGCGAACGAGCAAAAGGAGCTTCTCGAGAAAATCCGGCAAGTGCCTTCCCCCCTCCGCCCCCCCCCCGCCCGTCAAATGAATTCACGTAAACAAATGTCCACGCCAGCACCCCGTCGGCCATAACCATCGTCACGGTGCGACGACATTAAGTAAGAGGAAGAAACTTTTCATTTTAATTATTCGCTGATTGTCATTCCCGATTAAATTTTAACTGAAGCTCGAGGTAGATTTTACGGTCTGTACCGTGAACCTTAATTTTACCAGCGTTAATCCAAAACTTTCTACGCAAATCCTGACGATTTCATTCCGACTCGATGAGCCTTCCTTATTAATATGAAAATCTTCAAGCAAATCGCAAGCGAGCATCTACGTTCGATGTCATCGTTAAACCGCAGTCGTGTTACGTAAGTCGAATCAATCGTAAAGGAAAAGCCTATTGACTCGGATAAAAATCATTTCCACCAGGTGCACTTTAATTATCGTTGGAGGATTTAAACTTTAATTTACGAGAGGCCGTAAGTTTTAAGGGCTGTCCCTCGAAATTTCATTCGTTCTGCCGCTCACCATTCGAAAGTTTCAGTTTGACCGTTAATCCAGCACAGGAAGATGAGACCAATGGAACAGGGACGAGACAGGCTACCGGGGAGGACTTTGACTCGAATATTGTCGCATTTAAATCGGAAGATTGGAATTCTAATTGATAGCCCTGGATTATCGGCAATGGAGTAAAAGACAGGCTCGTGTTATTCCCATTCGTTACTTTCTTGCATCGTTCATGCTTGATTCTTTAAAATCTCCGCGCGATACCGTTACCCTCCGGTCCACCCCAAGCGCTACAGATTATCGTAATGAAAATCTTGGCGTTTGCGCGCGTCAATCGTTAAAAGAGAAAGTCGGCCGTTCAATCTTGCTTTTGCTTTATTCATAATTGTAACAAAGATAAAATCCTTAAAAAATGCTTTTTAAACCACGTTCGCCTTGCTACATTGACATACCGTATTACTCGTTAATGGAAAATTCAAAAGAAATATCACCGCACAGACTGCAACGAGGTATTATGAAATCGATCCGTCAGTATCGATTTCCGCAAATAATCCAAATCTCCGTTGAATTTCGAAAGCTGCTTTCTATTGACGAGTGCGAGATACATGAATCATTTAAAGCAAAGGTATAAATTCACAAAGCAACATCCACTGTCATTCGATACCTGACCAGCTATATCTACGTACTATCAATGCCAAGAGAAATGTCCGCGATTCAGCTTCAAAGTATACCTATATATATCACCACATACTATATAACATCACTTAAGCTATAGGTGCTGCAAGCTCGCCTAGCCGTGTTTTAACGTTAATTCGCGTCTTCGCCAATGAATTATTGGAAAGCTTTAACATCCACAGGCACGGCACTTGAGCCGCTTGAGGGTCGGCATAAAACGGCGCATAATTTGCACGTAATTCACCCTCCCGTTAGAATATTTACAAATGGGATTTAAATCCGCTAACGCTACGGAATCGTTTGCTTTTACACCGAGAGAGCCAGGAGAGACGCTAGAACGAGGTGCTCAAAGTGTAAATAGGAGACGAGTCGCGGCAGACAAAGCCCAAAGCCATAAAGGGAAGGATTGTTGCCCTTCGAGAGTTGCAGTCGTGTCGAATCGCGAGTCTGCGGAAGTGAAATCCTGAAATATTAATGTAGCTCCTATTCCTCGTTTCTCTCAACCCATTCCGGTACCTATACACTTACATGCAATTCCCTTTACTCTCCATTTCCCTTAAACCACCCCTGATTTCCGTCCATTTCTCCAGCAGCTTCAACACGATACAACGTTAGATGCCAAAAAGCGAATATCAAGTCCTGAGAATTTACATTCGCTCTGCCCCATAGGCGTAGCGAAAATTCTTACGGCACTAAAATATTCGGTATGCAGCATGCTCTTGAAGACAAATTAATACACGAAAGACGCCTCTTACACTCCATTTACAGAATCGTGTTCTTTTGTATCGACTGTTTTATGGGTTATCCTTTTTTTTTTTCAATTTAATCGTTAGTCATAACTCATAAACCATGACTGGCATAAGCACAAAGGCGTCTCGCCACGTGAAAAAGACATTGAAACTCGTTCTGACGTTCGCGCGTCGTTGCGACGCTTGTTTCAGGAGGGCGAACGGGGATACTTGGAGGGACTGGCTTCAAGGTATGCAGACCTCTTCAGAACGCATTACGGCGATGTCCTGGAACCGCTCGAGGAGCTACGGCGCCGCGAAACAAATGCCTCCCCCAGAATGGCCAACACTCAACTCACCACCAGTCATTCACAGCCCATTTACGTGCCTGGAAAATACTCGGTGAGCAACGCTTTATAGTATTCCATGTAATCCCGTGGACGGTGTCTTAAAGACCCTGCGTTACAAGCCCATCAGCTCCCTTAACGACTGAGACGTTGTATACAGAGACCGGTGAAAAAAGAAAGAAAAAAAAGGACATCAGTTTGACATTTAAGGATAATTCCTTTTTCCTCACTTTTTCCTTTTCTCTCTTTCTCTCTGGTAAATTGCTGTTCACCTCGATCGACGTAAAAGGATTAACAGTGTCGACCTTATCGATTTTAAATTAAAACCGTTATTGTACCGCACTCCGACTTCAGCTTGTTAATCGAATTTTCAATCACGACAACGTATTATCGATTGATCCCAGATTCCTCGAGTGTCCTCTTGGGTTTTTATCTACCAGCTAGAAGCTGTCATGGTTTCCCTTTGAAGGACCTACTCCCTTCTCTGCCGCCCTCCGACCCTCCATTACTCTTGCAATTCTTATCTCTTCTCTACTTGCTCCGGCAAAGACGGGAAAACTTGTTGACAAGCGTGTGACTCGAGAGCGACGGAGAAGTAGAAGGTTGAATAAAAAAGAAAAGTATGGAACCTTATAAATTTCTGTACAGCCATCGAGCTGTCTCAGCGATAAAGAAGAAGACGAGATCTACGGGTTCGGATATGGCGTCTTTGGTCGTCAAATGCTGCAACAGAGACAGCAGAAACTTGCTCTGGCGACACAAAACACAACTGCTGCTGCTCCCGGTGGACATCAAACGACCTACCAAAGGTAAGACAATTAAATACCATTTGCTATCTGAACGTGTTGCGTTAGTTGCCATAATAGCTGTCGGTATAAACTAGCAGTCTTACGCGCACGCTTCTCGACAGCTCTTGACAATGTCTTGACAGGATGCTGTATTATAGCCCGAGGCACGTTCGAACTCTTGTTTTACTATACTTCGTTGCCTATGACTCGCGCTACGATTTCGAATAGCATTCGCGTACTGCGTCGGCTGTTTGATATTTAATAGGTAATTAACCGGGTGTTCGCATTAAACGCAAACGCACAGAAGGCGCCTCTTGGTACCTTGGAGGCAACTGTCGTTAAATAGCATTATCGTAGCGTAACATTAACTGTTTTAATGCACGCAGCCAATAAGCTCCCTTCGTACAGTCTTGTGCTACGGTAAACACTTCGGGTTTTTCTCCTGACAAATTATCCTTACTGGAGCGGATGGGTATTATGTTGCAATCCTAAATTACTGATTTCTTGACTAATAAGTAAATATATTTTTAATATATATGTATTGCGTAATAATCAATCGTTCTTTAGACTCCTGAACAATTGTTTGAACTTTAAATTTACAGTTGAAATTTTATCATTCGAGTGAATTTCTTCTTAGTTAAATTCCTTGAGGAATACAAGGCGTCGCGACGCTGTATTTATATTCTGATCGAACGCGCCAAATTTCAATTAGCTGGATTCTTAATGACGTCTCTCGGTTCAACGATAATGTCATGGTAATGAGATTCTATGGGTTATCAGCTGGGAATAAATAAATGGGGGATTGTCTTTAGGGCCGTACTTAATAGTTGATCGGAATAATGTTGAATGTTCGATGGGAAGTCTCGTGAAACGAAATCGTAATGGGCTTTAAAATGAGTATCGATTAACGTTTATTCGATATAATCCCTACTGATTGAGAATTGTAATAATTTATAATGCAATTAATTAGTGGGCTAAACTCGTTCGATTTAATGACGCGCTTGCCATTCACTGTCACAATGTACCAACCGATAAATTTATTCTATCGTTAATTAATAAGCAGGCAACGACAATAATGAATAAATTTTAACTCTGCGTAAACAGCTTACGGTATACGTTATCGTTACATTTTTGCGTTATGTCTCAATTAACGGCTAAATTCTACTGGAATTTTACTATTTCGTCGATCTTCGCGGAAAAATTTTTCGAAAAAATTGCAAAACTATCACATTCCCGATAATCACAAATCAATCACATCGTTATTGCCGTTGTGTAAAAATTCATCTTATTCTTAGTTCAATTGAAAATACAACTCAGAACAGTCTCTACGAATTATTACTGTAATATATTACGCAAAAATGGAAAAAAAATATTACACATCCACGCACAATTTTTTTATACGACAAAACCCAACAAGCATTGGATCTTTTTATTCGTTAAATTGGTCAAGTCTATTATGACGTCAAATGTACGTAAAGGTTGAAGATTTTCATTGTCCATCGCGTTACAGAATTTGGCAATGGAAAGAAAAAAAAAAATGTGAACGGCAAATAAATATTGGAAACGCGTTGAATTCGATGCAGGAAAACATTTTAATAGCTATGATCGACAGTGTTGCGTATCTATGAGACATTTTAAAAGTAACATTAACACCATGAATACCTATTACTGTAATAATAATAATAGCACGCGAAACGATTGTTACAGCAAATCAATTGGATACCATCAAACCATTATACAAAACGTGCTTGCATTATCAGTAGCAACTGCTGTTTGCCGTTATCCTCAAAGGCCTTTCAGATCATTTGAAATAATCTGTTGCAGTCAACGAGCTTCGAGGAAATCACAGTTCGATTTGCGTATTACGTTGTTGCCCTTTCGTCAAAGGATCTATTAGTATCAGTTGGTATTATGTTTCCCGGCATTCGGATACGCGCAACCACGCTATCAGTTACTAATTTGTGGTACGCGAGCTGCATTGTGCGATCCGGTCATGATTATTTTGGATCGTTTCGGATCATTTCGAAGATTATCGGCACAGGCTACATTTTCGATTTGGCCATTAAAATGATTATCGCAGATCGTTAGTGCAGGCTGTCTTATTAATTTATATGATAATTATAAAATACTAAGGGCATGCTTCCAAAATGCATTACCAAAATCTAAAACAGGTATAGGTCAGACTTATAGATGTCATAAATTTTATGTTTCTGGTATAGCAAAATTATAAAGTTAAGTCGCTTACATTAATATGTATGCCGAGTAGAAAGAAAAAAGAAACGAAAAATTCAATTAACCCAGGATCTTCGTCTTCGTCTCAGATGTCCCTGTGTACAGTTCACAGGTCCAGCCTCATCCTTTGATACTAGAGGGTTGGGGACGATTTGATGTTTTCAACTCGGTGAATATTTTTGCACTCGTATTTTCGGATACGGACTAATTAAAAAATTATTATGAATAAATCGAGACACGGATTTTCGCGTGAGATAACAAAGGACTGCGATGCAGTCATTTAAGTGGACTGATTCACCGTGTTACGAGTTTTCGGAAATGATGGAAATGAGTAAAGAGTATAGAAAGGGATGGTATGAAATGGGCGGAAGGTGGGAGGCGAAAATCCTCAAAAAAAAGACAATGATACAGATAGTCTGTCAAGGGTATATCAGATTGACGTGATCGCTTCCCTAGAGAGCACAGTAAGGGATGTCGAGGCCAGCCTATGACTCCCCACCGGTCTAACCGTCTCGGTATATTTACTACAGAGTTGACAGTGATGCCAGAGTGATATCACGAAGAAGGTATAGCCCAGCGGAAAAAATTGGGAAAATATGTAACACAAAGAAAGAGATAGAGCGCGAGAGAGAGAGAAGGCGAGATCGCGTTGGAGCAAGAGACAGAGAGAGAAAAGTAGATGATCGAGTGAAGATACCTGAGAAAAAAGATGAAAAGAAGATGAAGAAGCGATGAATGAGTCCCAACACAGCAATACATTTTTCTGCGTATCAGCAGTGCCTCCTGCCACTGAAGTACTAAACGACAAGTGCTGCCCTCCTGCGAGTAATTTTTTAATTACAATTTGTACAATGGCAGCAACGGATTCCCCAAAGTTGGGCGAGAAGGGGCGAGAAGGCTGATCGGTGTAGTCCTTGCCCTAGGACATCATTGACGCTCCTATATAACACTCTAAAGTGTTCCTTGGCGTAGGTCAGTTTCCTTGTCTGCCGCATATGTCACTTGACTGACAATACTAATATAATACTAGGGGACGTGTCTTACGTCATTTGTACACCTTCCAGTATGCCATACCAATAGATATAAGCTTTACCTGTGCTAGATTTTGGTTATGCATTTTCTATGTTTGGCTGTAGTATAGGATTGTCTGTACTTCTGTATATATAAATTTGGAATAAATTTTTTCAAAATTTCGTATGGATAATTTTGATATATGGAATAAAAAACTACTAATTCACTCGCTAGTATACAGTGTTATCTCCTATTTCCGAAGCTATTAATCGCAAAGTCTCCAGGTTGGATAATTACGTTTGGCTAATATCTTTTGATAATTATGTACGCGGGCGAGGTGTCGTTGGCGCGACAGCTCATGCATACTTCAGGCTGTATGCACGCGCGAGCACATGGCCCGTAGAGCACATCGTTGCGTTACGTGCGAGCAGGACACCTGCATACAAATGCGCGTCCCCGGCTCGTAATTGTTGCTCAATTAAACACTGTCGCGTCCGATAAACCACTTTGATCTCTTGTTTTGCCCATGATACCCGCAAAGCCCGTTTCAATTTGAGGGAATTAAAAATCCACGTACGCAATAAGCGATCGTATCGAGGGGCGGTTTTCGCTGTTACAGTAGGGAAAAAAATTGTTATAATTTCTATTAAATACATAATTTTATTGATCGATGAAAATTTTCGACGTTACATTTTTTTATGAACAATGAAATATGCAATTGACATACCCCGCATTCTGATATAGGTAACGGCTACTGTTAAATGTTCGTTTAATGTAATTATAATTAAACGTTGCAATTTTGTTACTAAATAAACTCCTGTTACGTGATAATTCGTGTTAAGTGACTTCTTTGAATTTCCCAAGCGTTCGTTTCCGTCGTGCAAGATATCACGAGAACTTTGCGGCTCAGTTTGAACAAAAAGACGGAGCGGTAAAACGAGGTAGGAGGGAAATAAGAAAAAGGGGATTAACAAAAAAGACGGTATAAGTGACTGCGAAAAGTACGGAAAAAGAAACGAGACCGAAAACGTAACAAGTAGTCCAACGAAGAAAGAGCGCCTTTAATTGTTAGCATATTTTAACCGTAATTTTCTCTGTTCCAGTTGTCTGAGTCCGAGATCCGCGTTCTTCTACGAATTCCCGCCCAATGGTAAGTTCTTTAGAAGCTGTACGATCTCGCGGGTCCATTTGTCACCGGTGAAATTTAGCGCCGGGAAGTCAGACGCGAGCCTGGAAAGTCGCTGTCCTCTTATTTTATTACTCCCACTCTCTTTCTTTCTCTCTCTCCCTCTCTCTCTCCCAAGAAGAAAAGAAAGAAGATACGAAACTATAGATAACAAGGATGCTGGGAGTATCTCGTATTCACATTAGATACACTTACAGAATAGACTTCTTGGTGAGATTTTTCTTTGCGTGAGAAAACTCTATGCGCTCGCTGTTACATATTAAATGGAATCCGTCGTGTTTTCAAAAGTACGAAAAGTGTATCTAACGATCATAGAATTTCGTGCATAATACATTTTACTAGAGTAAGATAAAAAAATGCAATCCATCAGAAAGCTCTTGTTGTGAATAGGCCCACGTGAAATATAAATGACTCGATAATAGGAAAGCACGGCTTGTACCTGCAACGTGAACCGACCTAATTCCGCCATGGAGAATTCATTATAATGCAGAGTTGCAAGAGGAAACGAGAGAAAAAGTATATATACATATATAAAGATTATACGGAAGCTGGGTGGACCGGATAGAGACTGGTAGAAAAAGAAATAAGAAGGGAATCTAGTCGGTATTTCCTTAAAGGGAAAAATAAAATCAAGATGAAAAAAGCCCATACAGGGAGAGTGAGGTCGGCCGGAATTTTTCAAGATATCGAAAAACACTTTAGATCCCATATTGGAAGTATGCTGGGGTATTCAGGGCGGTAAGGTCAGTCTTGATATTTCATTTCTATTGACTCTGCCGCCTTCACGTTTTCCACTTCTCCATAACTACGAATACATAATTGAGATTCGAACCCTTCCCCCTCTACCATGACCATCCGAATAGTCCACCTCCTTTTACCTCCGCCACGACCTTCCACTTCTTCATGTATCTTGGCAGTGATCCATTTTCCCTATAGAGGAGCATTCGCATCTCCCGAATCCATCTCACGACGTGAAAACGTAATACCACCGAGCAAACTCTCCTCTCTCCCTCTCCCCTCCTGAAATCTCAAAACTTCCTTCCAACCAAACGAAAAGAACTTTACACCCATACCTCCACTTCCAGAGCCCACCCTTCCACGAGATCCTGCAAGCCCAACAGGATAGGACGGTACCCAAGTAGGGTGAAAGGAGCCCAGAAGGAAGGGATGGGATGGTAATTCGTAATAAAACCGTCGAAGTCTTCTTCTCCCAGTCAAAGTGATTTCTTCATCGATTCGTCCCAACCAGTAGGTACCATCCCATTTGAAAGTCCTTCTAAACCGAGCCTAACCCGACCTTCTTACCCTCGGTGAGATTCGCTCGATAAATCTCAAAATTGAAAAGTTCCCACTAGCTCTCATTCGTTTGCTCCACCAACGATTGATTTCCCCTACGCCCCACAGTTCGCACTCTCTTTTCAATGGGAAGGACCAGTATAGACCCAGACATTTCCCGTCCTGTAACGTCTGCCGGATCGCCTCGGTTAATCAGTTTAAGGTACGCGAGACGCCCATACATTTAACAGTAATTCTGTGTAAGAGGCGTTGATGCTACTGTAGCTGCACTTAGTACTTGTTACATGGCATGAGATATCCCTATACCACCTCTATACATACCCTCGCCGTCCGTATCCTCGCCCGACCTGCCCACCTACTGAATCTCACTCGTTCAGCTTGTCTGGTTGCTTACCGAACGCGACTGTGGGAGAGCAGGGCTGCTTGTCTAGACTCCGGCCTAGACCCCGACTAGGAAGGGTATGTGCTTATCCTTCTTCCTTCCCCACAGTGCTTACGCGAATCCGTACCGTGTCAGTCCCTATGCCAATTGTGTTTGTGCACTCTGCATATATATATGTATCCACTTCGTGCTCCCATCATGTGAAATTTAGCATATGCCACTCTCGCTGTTTAAACATCCACCTACGCCATGGGCTGAATGTATTATTTATTGAGAATCAGATTAATTGTACCTCGTTGATTTTGTCGCTGCTAATCATTATTGAGTTTATAAATTATTTCAGAGCATCATCACCCGCGCTTTTGAAACGAACACGCGCTTACTAATTTTCTTTGCACTTTTACTACGCTTCTTAGTCAAGTGCAGATACAGCAGGCTGGCTTCTATCTTGATACGTTAAACTTTGGCGAGTACTCTTTCGTTTTACGAGTGTGTATATACGCTATTGGATTTAATCGAGATTGCGAGATTGTTGTCTGAATTTATTCCTGTACCGTAACGGCAGTAACTGCTATAATAATATGATGATACGTGAGAGATAATATTTCACGAAAATTATTCGCTTCCCCTAACGTTCATTTCAGACGTACAGTCCATTCGCGAATTGAATTTGTTTTTTTTCCACAATTTTGAAAGAGTAACAGGTTTAACAGGTGACACGTGATTTCATATAAAATCACCTAATTACATGGTAAAATAATAAAATCGTAATGTATTTCAGTGCAAAATAATACACGGGGATATTTTGTTACAAAATTTTTATGCAGAGCCACACGTGTGGTTTCCTAGAAACTTTCTTTTCGAACTGTCGAGAAATTACATTCACTTGCCGATTATAGAGAAGAAAGAATGGAAATTCTTTCATAATAGAACGGCGACTCTTTAACGGTAATTTCATATCTCACTTTGAAAGAGATTGTTGAAGCATTATGAAATGAAGAGTTAATCAAGAGGAACTTAATTAACAAAGTACAATACCTCGTTTCGCCGTGGTCGCTTCAATGACGAAGTTTACCATTAGCAATCTGTGTCAGTTCATGATCTAGTCGTTGGTCTGCATTTTGTCTTGTCGCGGCCATGGAAATGCAGAGCCACGTGCTTGCTTCGTGGAAATTCGCCTAGACTCGCGTCAATATCAATTTCATTGTCAATGATGCAAGGTTCCGCTAGTCGGTTTAAGAAGAAAATATCGATCGATACCTATACAGGGTGTCCCAAGATTACCTGACCAACGGGGTATGGCGGTGTTCGGGAGACACCACTGATCACGAAAATGACCTTCACGAGGACGCATCCAGAAATTCATTGCCAGTAAATTGAACATCGGGTGGGAGTTACGTAATTTCCGTTTTACTGGATATACACGGTGCAATCGTTTGTGGGGATTTTTTTTTATGTGGTTTGTTTACCTATGTTCTTATTAGTTTCTTTTTTAATATCGTTTATCGTAAGTATATTGATACGTCAGCAAATGTATAGGGTGTCCCAAAATTACCTGACCAACGGGATATGGCGGTGTTCGGGAGGCACCACTGATCACGAAAATGACCTTCCTTTTGTCCGGAAGGTAATAGTTTTTAAATGGGAGCAGGTCAAAGTTGACCAATCAGAGCGAGGCGTCACGAAAAACGTAGGCACCTACGAACTCTGAGTTTTCTTATCTCGCTTTTGTTTCTCGGTGGCTTGTTTCTTGTTTCTTGTTTCCAATAGGCATGTCTCCGGCTGACGTCATCCTGCCCGAAGCCACTGAGAAACAAAAGCGAGATAAGAAAACTCAGAGTTCGTAGGTGCCTACGTTTCTTTTGACGCCTCCCTTTGATTGGTCAACTTTGACCTGCTCCCATTTAAAAACTATTACCTTCCGGACAAAAGGAAGGTCATTTTCGTGATCAGTGGTGCCTCCCGAACACCGCCATATCCCGTTGGTCAGGTAATTTTGGGACACCCTATACATTTGCTGACGTATCAATATACTTACGATAAACGATATTAAAAAAGAAACTAATAAGAACATAGGTAAACAAACCACATAAAAAAAAATCCCCACAAACGATTGCACCGTGTATATCCAGTAAAACGGAAATTACGTAACTCCCACCCGATGTTCAATTTACTGGCAATGAATTTCTGGATGCGTCCTCGCTTCAGAGGGAATTCAAATAAACATTACTACCACACGTAATAATCATCCCTGTAATTGAACAATCGTATCAAGCGTATAATGATTATCGCTCGGATGCGAGACATAATGACAATTTTTAACGACATTTAAAACGCCCGTTAAATAATTTTGTACTCATCCCCGTTGATTTCCCATCGATTCAAACTTACTCAACGATGCATTACGCGTGGGCGCGACGGTCGTTAGATGAAATTAACGTTCCTGATTTTCCCTGCTCGAGATTTCCCTGCCACCACCGAAACGTTACTCGCGTTATGCTTCGTGATATACGTATAGACATATAGATATATTACAGCGCGAGCTGCAGCTGGATTGGCTGTTAAAACGTCTCAATATCAAATCCGCAGAGTTTTAATGTCCCTCGTAAATCTCCGTGCGACCTCACTTCGCGAAGATATGAACGCTCTTTATAACAGCCCTCAGCCACACCGTTAATACGCGAAAGATCGGCAGGAAACTTGCCGAAGGGATTTGGTAGAGATCGAAAGTCGTGCAGTTGGTACCACTAGCAGGTACACGTATTCTCCACCTGTATGCATTTTGTATGAATTTGCCAACGTCATATTTCGACCCCCTACTCGTGTATGTTTTACAGTTGGTACCAGAATGTAAATACGGTCATTCTCCTGCGTATAGTACCTACCACGTGTACTTAATATAAAGGGTGTATACTCACAATCAGATATGAAATACAGATTGTCTGGTGTGTTTTAATTAAAAACTCTTGCACCGTGCACTTTATTGGAACACTCGGTACTTAGCAGAAACTATCTTGTACGCTGCCCGTATATGGGGACCTGATATTTCCAGGAAATTTCTCAGGCGATAACTACAGAATGAATTGCACCGGAGTCTGAAAGTCTTTGAACTTTTGACTGCCAGTTCTTTATGTTCACTTTGTGGCTGTACAAAGTTATTGAAAGTTGTTCTATGACGAAACTGAACCGTACTTTAAGCGGCTTGAACGATCTTGAGGAATGTTTGTTAGAGTTAGTTTCGATTTGCCATTCTTTTTTTTCCACAATAGCCCATACATTGTAAAGT